CCCCCCCCTTCCATGGCTGCCACCGTCCATTTGTGTCCACACACATAACACTTCTCCTGCCTTCGACCACGAATCGCAATCACTGGAAGCACTTTCACAGCTACCCCCACAAACCCCTCCTGCCACTAACCAAATATCTCAAAACCCAGAAACCCAACCTCCGCATTTTGAAAACCACGCCCCAGAAATGCTGCGACCGCCTCTTCAACCATTACATCCATCACATGCACCACCTGCTTCTCCTGCCATTGACCTCGTACCCCCCTCACAAGAATCACAGGCACGACCCTCTCTTAACATTAATAACCAAGGATTATCTCAAACCCAAGAAACAGAGCCCTTACATTCCACACCCATCAACACAGAGATATTGTCGCAAACAGCACAATCACAGGCTCCTCGACCTCATTTTGCCATGGAAACACAGCTACAATTTGCACCTCCAACACAACAAACACCTCCCAGTGCCATCAATCCACGACTAATCAATACGGTCATTGTCAGGCAGATATCTGTAGAATGGCCTAATGTAATCATGGGATTCTGTTTTCAGGCAGCGATTCAAATAGCTCTCCAATACGAAACAACTCCACACTCTAAACTCCCTGTTTTCTTCTACTTGCGTTCTTTTTCCATACTACTCACGTTTGCTTCCCTTTTTGTTTCACAGTTAATTAGCAACAGGTTCCCTGACACATCCAAAATATTGGAGAAAGTTGCAACATTCCTTGCCGCCACTGCTTTTTTCACCACCATTGCAACACCAATGACCCTCGCCTTCAAGTGAAATGCAAATAAATCTGTTAAGACTTTAAGCTGATACGCTTTGTGTTGCCAAAATCTGCTTCGAAGGACAGTACGGTTGTCTCTTGCGACTCTTACTTCTCGAGAAATGTAAGGCAGTTGATTTGTGTGTATGCTGAGAGAGATAATAGTGATACAGTTCTTGATGTAAGATCCAGTTCTACTTCTTTTATTAAGGATTTGTGTTCTTGTAGCTTACTTCAAGAATTTTCTTGCATAACCTTAATCATTGTCCATTGATTAATTCTCTACATGGAATACAATTGATTAATGTAGAACGTGGGATCATATGTGCGTGGTGTGCTAAGTATTTGAGTGAATTGTACGGGACTCACCAATCTTGATACTCAATGCATAATTTATTTTTCTTAATAAAATTACAAAATCAATTAATACAATAAAGTTTTGAGAATAACAAAAAAATTAAATTCAATATACCACAAGAAAATAAAAAATATTATATAGTTTTTTTTATATTTGATTTTATCTTTATTAAGACCCACTATTAGCAATAATTTTCCTCCCTCCTATCAAACAGCCTTCACATTTCATCCTTTTTAACTATTTTTTTCCTTTAACACTTCACCTCTAAATCTCACCTCCTTGACATTTCTCCTTCAAATTCCTCACCTCATACCGTTCCAGAACAGCCTAATTGTCAAGGAATCAAGTGTTAAGAATATAAAAAATGACTAAGGATGAAATGTTAAGGATTCACTAGCTCCAAGAAAATCTAATTTCTGTCACCAAAATTCCAAATTGAATTTGTCCCTATCTGATTCAAGATTTTGAACATAACTAGTTTATTTGGATCTATCCCTATCCGATTATCACCATTGTTTACTTTGGACTTGCCATCTCAACTTATCTATGAAAAATGACTTGAACTCTTGAAGGATCCCCCCTCCCACACGACTCCAACTTTCCTCGTAAGCGAGTAGTTGCACGCGATAGCCAATGGCATATCTTTGACACGCGACATCGGATCGGGTCTCTTTTATTTTTTCATCCGAACGTTTCTTTCAATTATTTTTCTCTTTTCACAACCCCATGATCCTCTGCCCACACTTATCATTGTGTCCCACAAAGGAAAAATCGTGTATGCCCTGCCGATTCTTTATCTATTCACCAGTGCAACTTGTTCCTCTCTCTCTCTCTCTCTCTGTCAAAAATAAAGTTCCAGGGTTGAGTTCACCATGTTCCAGTCAATTTAGGTATGCTCTAGGGAACTTGGAGGGCAGGAATGGTGATTAAGATCAAAGGGGCAAGCTAGTTTAGTTAGATCTCATTAAGACCAAAAGATTTTAACAATAAATAAAGGCAATTAAAACAAATTACTTAGTAAGATTAAGCTGAAGTGCTTTGAAGTAGCAGTGATTCTGTTTTTATTATTTTGGGATCTCTAGCAATGAAGAAACTAAATAAGTAAAAATATGGCTAATGTTACAAGTACAATGATTATTCCCATGTTCCAGAAAACAGATTTGATGGGTTATCATAAGCATTTTCATCTTCAGAATCTGAAGAGCACACTTCCTCTGGCTCAATTAGTGAAGATACACTTGCATCTTCAATTGTGATGGGATAACTAATGCCAACCCCTTGAGCGATTAAGATTTTTCACAAAATCAGAAAATTCAAATGAGCACAATTACTTGATGATTAAATATAGGAAAAGAAGGAAATACAAATGAGAAATGTAAGGTAGTTTATTTGTCTGTATGTTAGAGAGATATAACAGTGATACAATTCTTTATGTACGATCTATTTCTATTTATTTTATTAAGGATTTGTGTTCTTGTAGCTTGCTTAGAGAGTTTTCTTGGTTAAATTTCTTGATTAGACTTAATCATTCTCTACAGGGAAAACAATTGATTATTTTAGAACATGGGATCGTATGTGCATGGTGCTAACTATTTCAAGAAAAATAAATCCAATTTAATTCCAATGATTCTGCATTGTACGAGACTCGCCCGTCTTGAAAATCAATGAGTATCATTTTTCTATAGAATTTGTTGTGTAACTTCTCTAGCTGAAGATCAAGAAATGATTATCTTGCAGGACATGCCTTTAGAATCATAATTTTTAAATTTGATAAATGATATACAAGTTTAGGTGAATTAATCTAGGTTATTCTAGATCAATTTATTTTTTTTATAAAAAATTAAAAAATATATTATTTAAAAAAATAAAAATATGATATACAAGTTTAGGTAAATTAATCTAGGTTATTCTAAATCAATCTATTTTTTTATAAAAGAACTAGAAAATATATTATTTAAAAAAATAGAAATAAGAAATAAGTTTTGACCTCATTTTTTTCTGGCTGATCGGGTTGATAATGATTTTCAATTGTATTCCTATATCTAGAGTTGATGATTTCCTTTTATTGAAGAAATTCAGACATTTCTTTACTAAACATTTGTGATAATCTTAGAAGTACCATCAAAGAATTCTAACTGTTAGAGGACCACATTTAAAAAAAAAATTATGATCTCAAATTCTGTTTTTAAATCTGATAATTTGTTTCATTAAATAAAGTATAAATCGAGATCATTTATCCTAAAAGCATAATGAAACCTAAAACATCAACAAGGACAAACAAAATAATTCATGGAAAAAAAATAACAAAAATCATTAAGCAAGCTCAATAATTAACGTGACTAAACATCTCAAAGCTTGATTCATTGATGGATTTTGTTTGAACTCCATTAAACAATCCAATAATTAAGTTTTAATATATTTAAATATATGTAATTCGAAAAGGTGTTATGGTACTTATAACATATAGTTATGAATTATGTATTTATTAATATAATTAAATCTTAATCAATAAAATTTTGATATTTATTAAAAATTTAAACTCACCCGCTAGATTCATATTGACGCTTATGATAGAAAAATAAAAATATTGATATCAAATTGAAAAGGAAGAAAATATCAAGAAATTTTTTCAACTATATACTTCAAGTCATCATTTCTAGACATGGGTTTATTGTAGAAAATCTTTAAAATTAATAAAAACTTCAAATCATAAGTAGTTGAAGTTACATATTGAAGTTTTTTTGGTAAGATGTAAAGTAAAAAAAAAAAAAGAGAACTCATATCTTATGCTAGATCAACACATATCAAAGTTCTACAAATTGTTCAAAAATTTATGATAGTATAGAAGTTCATTTATATATTATTTGATCCCTTATAAATTTAAGTCATTTGTCTTAATAAAATTATAAAATCAAATAAGACAATAGTATTTCTGCACAAATTTGAGAATAACTAAAAAATTAAATTCAATATACATCAAGAAAACAAAATATATTATATAATTATTTGTTAATATTTAATTTAGAGATTGATTTTACCTTTATCAAGACCTGTTATTAGCAATAATTTTTCTGCTCCTATCAAACATCCTGACATTTCATCCTTCAATTTTTTGTACCTTTAACACTTCACCTTTAAATCTTACCTCCTTCAATTTTTTCACCTCAAACCAAAGACAACCTAATTGTCAAGGGATCAAGTGTTAAAAATATAGAAAAGTGACCAAAGTATGAAATGCTAAGGATGCACCCCATGAAAATCCATTTTTTGTCACCAAAATTTGGGATTTAATTATATTTTGAAATAGTATATTTACCATTATAAACTAGTTTCATCCTCTCAAATCCATTAGTCAAGTGGGATGGAAAACAAAAAAGTCTTCCTTTCAAGAAGATTGACAAAAGAGCAGAAATGTTGGTTTATCTTGGAAGGTTCCTTCTCTTCAAAAGCTCAAGGAAAGAGAGAACAAAAAATCCCCCATCATTGTCGATCATCGGGTACGTTTACCTTTCTTTCATGCCACCTTTCCTTTCATTTACCTTTCTTCTTCCCCCTCCCACATGATCCTCTGCCCAACTCCATTGAGTCCCACAAAAGAAAATCCATGGAAGCCCTACCACCGGTTCTACATCCGCGGTCCTAATTGATTTTTCATGGAAGCCCTGCCACCGGTTCTACATCCGCGGTCCTAATTGTTGTCCACAGGAGCAATTGAAGATTTATCACCATGTTGCAACAAACAAATCACACATAAATCATCTTCTATTGGTCGAGTCCAGCAGGACCCGACCTTACATGCTTCCTTTCTATATCTTTACTTTTCATTCCAAGTTGTACTGCTCCTTCATAGAAACTCTTCATTAATTAAAGTAAAAAATTTCTTCATTCTCCACCGCCAATTAATCATTTTAGTTTAAAATCCATTTTCCATCATCATATGTATTGATATATTTAGTGAAATTTATTTATGCTTAGCACACACGCCTATGCAGAAGACTCATCGAATAGGAATAGACATGGGCAGCAGCAGCCTTCCCTGATTAATAATTCTAGAAATGCTAGCAATCCAACTACATGGCCTTCTTTCCGTAGCTCGGATAGGAAAAGGGGATCCGACATCTCTAATCAAAGACACACATTCATGTAGGTCCAGACAGACATTTGCCATAGGGTCGTTGCTGAAGGAACCGAATATGAAGGAATCAGATGCCTAGGAAAAGTTCAGGCTTGCAACCTGGCATTTGTCTTCTAGGAGACCGTCAATTGATGATGGAGACTCTTAAGGGTGTATGTCATGGTGGCCTAAAGGGCTAATCAGAACAGAAATGTTTGGTAAAAGGAAATACATTTTGCTAGCCATACCTCTTTAACCTCAACATTTGGAGTCCTATTACACCGTAATAGTTCTGTAATTATGTTCTGTTCTTGTTATTTTACTTTAATTCAGTGGCAAAGTCATTTACAAGCAATCTTGGCTTTCATTTGTGATCTAATGAAGGATATTACTTAAATCTAATATAATATGGTAATAACAAGAAACCTTTAATTAAAAAAAATATAGATAAAATTGTTGGAAGCAAATTAAGCACACTTGGATCTCTTCTTCCTTTGATGGACGCTATTCCAGAAAGATAAATTATGTTTACCTAAATGGATACTGTAAGAAAGCATATATGAAAATGAAGTGAGAAGAAATTCAACAATCATCTTCGAAGTGGAAAGTGAAGATTTCGGGTCCTTTTCGTCCAATCCACAACTTAAATGCCTTTTTTCCAAGTAGAAAGGGCCGGAAATCACCAACTAGGTATTGGATCCGAGTTGACTTCACATTCGATAATATGAAGAGGGTCCCAAGTTCCATGCCCTCTTTCTCCACTCTTTACCACTCGGGAGGCCAACCTAGTTAACCATCGAAGGTGAACGGGTCCATCTTCGGTTTTATAACTCTAAGAAAGGGGAAAGTAATTGTTTAGAAGGTGTAACCATTACCAACTACATACACATGTGCATTCCTCTTTAGGCCAATCTTCTTTCTTTATTTCTTCCTTCCTTCATTGATTCCATTCTGTTCCTTCAGACAAGTCAATCTTTAGTAATGTTAATGTGATCGCAGCAATTTTGTCAGCATCATAGCTCTTGCAACAAGACCCGAGGATGCTTGAGACAAGCACTTTAGATCACATTTTGCTTTACGTATAAAAGAAATGGAAGCAATTACTTACGCAGAACAACCTTATGCTCATGAAATATCCGATTAGAAATTTCTCATTTACCCATGTCCACATGACAAATATCCGACTGTAGTCTGAATCCTTTAGCCCTCAATCCCCTGACTTGGTTTTTGTCTTTCCAATAAAGAAAATTATCAGCAGATTGCCTCCCAGTGGTAGCCCCACCGTATCTCCTATATATCCACCTCTTGCATGTGTCTGCTTCCAAGCTTTAACTCAACTCATACAAAAATGAAAACTACTCAAAGCATCAAGCAGTTTTTCCTTACAATCACCACTTTCCTGTTCCTCGTCTGGGGCAGAGTTAGATGCCTTCTACCATCACCTTCATCAAATAGATCACCTTCTTCTCCTGCCTTCGACCACGAATCGCAATCACTGGAAGCACTTTCACAGCTACCCCCACAAACCCCTCCTGCCACTAACCAAATATCTCACAACCCAGAAACCCAACCTCCGCATTTTGAAAACCACGCCCCAGAAATGCTGCGACCGCCTCTTCAACCATTACATCCATCACATGCACCACCTGCTTCTCCTGCCATTGACCTCGAATCCCAGTTACAAGAATCACAGGCACAACCCTCTGCTACCATTTATAATCAAGGATTATCTGAAACCCAAGAAACACAGCCCTTACATTCCACACAAACAGCACAATCACAAGCTCCTCAGCCTCATTCTGCCATGGAAACAGAGCAACAATTTGCACCTCCAACACAACAAACACCTCCCAGTGCCATCAATCCACGACTAATCAATACGGTCATTGTCAGGCAGATATCTGTAGAATGGCCTAATGTAATCATGGGATTCTGTTTTCAGGCAGCGATTCAAATAGCTCTCCAATACGAAACAACTCCACACTCTAAACTCCCTGTTTTCTTCTACTTGCGTTCTTTTTCCATACTACTCACGTTTGCTTCCCTTTTTGTTTCACAGTTAATTAGCAACAGGTTCCCTGACACATCCAAAATATTGGAGAAAGTTGCAACATTCCTTGCCGCCACTGCTTTTTTCACCACCATTGCAACACCAATGACCCTCGCCTTCAAGTGAAATGCAAATAAATCTGTTAAGACTTTAAGCTGATACGCTTTGTGTTGCCAAAATCTGCTTCGAAGGACAGTACGGTTGTCTCTTGCGACTCTTACTTCTCGAGAAATGTAAGGCAGTTGATTTGTGTGTATGCTGAGAGAGATAATAGTGATACAGTTCTTGATGTAAGATCCAGTTCTACTTCTTTTATTAAGGATATGTGTTCTTGTAGCTTACTTCAAGAATTTTCTTGATTAGTCTTAATCATTGTCCATTGATTAATTTACAACATGGGATCATATGTGCGTGGTGTGCTAAGTATTTGAGTGAATTGTACGGGACTCACCGATCTTGATATTCAATGCTAAAGAGTCTTTTGAATGGAACTTGTTGCGGTACTTCTCTAGCTTATGATCAAGCAGTGATTATCGTGCCTTTAGAACACTGAGTTGGTGAATTTGGATTTAACTATCATGCCATAAAAATTGTTTCTGTTAAAGTATTAATAAAATATTTAGGTGTCATCTCTTTCACTCGCATGTGTAATCAAGTGCTTTCTAATTAGTTTGGTTAGTGGGTAAAACCTTGACTTAGTCCCCCACGTATCGTCATCGAGGAAAAATCCATTTAGGTCCCTTGTAGTTTTCTATATTTTCATTTGCATTCCTATGTGTAGAGTTGATGAATTTCGTCTTAATGAAGAAATTATAGGCATTATTCATACTTTTCAATCTTTTAGACAATGAATAAAGATTTCTGAGCGCATGAGGATCAAATTTTAAAAAAGAATTCTTCAGGATCTCAAATGTACTATTATTTGATACTATAAGGGTTTATTTATATATCATTTGATCAACTCGCATCAAGATCTTTTAAATTGTTCGAGATTTTATGATAGCATAAAGGTTCATTTCTCTCTTATAAAATCAAGTTATTTTTTTAATAAAATTACAAATCAAATAATACAATAAAGTTTTGAGAATAACAGAAAAATAAAATTTAATATACAACAAGAAAATAAAATATATTATATAGTTGTTTTTTTATATATTTGATTTTATCTGTATCAAGACCCATTAATAGCAATAATCCTCCTCCCTCCTATCAAGCATGCTTCACATCTCATCCTTTAACTGTTTGTTCCTTTAACACTTCACCTCTAAATCTTACCTCCTTAACATTTCTCCTTCAGATTTCTCACCTCATACCATTTCAAAACAGACTAATTGTCAAGGAATCAAGTGTCAAGAATATAAAAAATAACCCAAGTATGAATTGTTAAGGATTTGCTAGCCCCAAGAAAATCCAGTTCTTGCCACCAAAATTCCAGATTGAATTATTTTCTAAAATAGTATCATGGGTTAATATATATATATATATATATATATAAAGGGCCTTCTTTTAAATAAGACTCGGATATAATTTCTCAAACAAAAAGAGCAGTTGATTTAATTTAAAAGATTCCTTGTCTTCGAAAGCTGAAAGAAAGATAGAATCATGAATGCCTCATTGGGCGTGTCCTTTCTTTCATGCCGACTATTTTTTTTTGCAATTACTTTTTCCTTCGCCAAGCTTAAAGAAACCCCACCATCGGTTCTTGTCCTGCTTATCATGGATAGTCGTCGGATCTATCCCACTCCCCCAGGTTCTTTTGTTACATGGAAGGTTTCGTCCGATCACATTTGCTTTCTCTAGATTTCCAATCACCCTTTCACACGCCATAGGCAAAGGATATTTGACGCGTATCATTGACACGAGATCATCGGATAGGGTGACCTTTTTTTCATCCGAATGTTTCTTTCAATTATTTTTTTCTCTTCGCAACCCCATGATTATCATTGGCGTCCCACAAAAGAAAAATCGTGGAAGCCCTGTCGATTCTTTATCTATATTAAAAATCGGTTCTTCATTTATCCACCATTTTGCATGCATGAGTACTTGACTTGGATGAGCCACTACCCGCAACTTTCCTCGTAAGCAAGGCTACGGGGTCACCTACCATTTTCCTTTTGGCCTTTTCTTGATCCGTATATATATATATATATATTTCGAATGTTTTTTTAGAATGTTTTCCATATAAAAAATATTAAATTAATATTTTTCAAGTTTTTCCTCCTATATTATATATATATAAACAACCATCTTCTCCCAAAACAATTGTAATTGTACTCTCATAATAATAAATATATTTTTAAATAATTTATGATAGTAATAGTGGTGGGATGAAACATAATAATTGAAAAAATAATCTTATTTTCAATCCTATCTCTTTGGAAATAGATTATTTTCATGTTTTTCACTCTTTAAATTCATTTATTTTTTCATTAGAGTAGCATTTAGTTATTATTTTGAAATAGAAAGGACAGGGAAATAAAAGGGACATGTCTCCCTTTCAAAATTATTTCAACAGACTTTTATTTTGTATACACGTATCTCTATTTCTTTAATAAAGTAATTTTTTTATCTCTTTTATAATTAACATTTTTTTATCATGAAACACTATACCAACATAACCTAGAAATTTAGCCTAGGGGATAGACTTGCTTGAAAAGGAAGTCAATGGCTAAACCCATCGTTCGCTCGCCCAATCGTCCATTACTGTCAAAATATATAGATTTGGCAATATGCACAATATCCATTTATAAGTCATCAAAATAGATTGGATTCATATATATATAACTCCATATCTCTTATTAATTTGCCAATATATAATATTTTATATAATAAAATTATTTGCGATCAGGGTAGTAATTAATATATATATATAGCAAGAACTTAATACTCATATATATACTTCCATTTACGTCCGTACAACTGCACCTATATAACATTGCATCAAGAAGAGCATATATATGCATGGAATATACAAATCAAGAGAAACAAGCAAATTGGTATTTCCTCGTCAGCCCAAAAAGATATGGAGAAGTCTTCACTACTCAAGCTGGCCATTTTAGTCCTCCTTTTCACCATTGCAACTCGTTAGTTTCTCTCTCGAATCTTACATTTGCTTCATCCTTTCTTTACATCTCTCTCTTTTTTTTAGAAAAAAAATAGTATATTTAGAAATTAATTGTGAAAATATTGTGGTTTTCAGGTTCACATTTGGCAGCTGCAAGGTTTCATGTATACAATTTGAGATGCCATAAGGCTTCAGACTGTGTAGGCGAAAAATGCCCTCTTTGTGCAGATTGCTATTGTTCGTGAGCCAAAATGTGTCAATGCAAGGGTTTATCCTCTTCGGAGAACACCATGCTTGCACCTTGATGAGCTCAAGCAGCAAACTCAAGGCACTGAGGGCCGGGACACAGTGATTATGTTGGATGTAATAAACTATGCATTCGTTCAATGAAGTCCTTGTTGTTGAGAGGATTTCAAGAGAACGATGATAATAAAGATGGACAGTGTTTCTTGAAGACAAATTTTTATCTTGAATGATCATATATTTTGAAGTAATCAAGAAAATATTATATTCGACCTTGAGATCCATGAGTTCACCACACATTAATTACCAGTCCAAAAATATTGAGGGAGCTAATTTTTCTTGTTTATATTAATAAGTCTCATTTCACCATCCAATTTAATTGGTCTAAGCAACCGTTTCATTGTTGCAAGGTTTGCTGTTGTTAATTGTTGCTGGGGCCGAAGCTTAAACCTTGGTTCCATGGTGTGAAATATATAACACAGAACACCAATCTTTGAGCAAAGTTTGTCGTGCTAAAGTGTTCAAAGAAAGAGATAAGGTGATTACATTTTTGCACAACGAGAGATTTTCAACAGTGACTTACAGCGAACTGCTGCTGAAGAAGTATGATTTTTATAGTGTAATGAAAATGCTTACAGATATCTCTAAGACTTTCGGTGTGTCTAATATTTATTCTATAATTATACTGATGAAATGCTACATCCAGAAACCTCAAATGGTCTCAAAATCAAGTCATTCATAAGTACTAGAGGGGACCGATGTGTAATAATAATGAATCAGATAATCAAATCAAAATCTAAGAAGAAGTTTGGTTGTGCCAAAGTTTGCCTCTCACAACCAGCCATGATCGATTATCAATCATAATTTATCATTTTTTGGAAATGGTTTATAAAATATACAGTGAACCATTTGTTGGAATTAGTTTATAAAAATATACAGTGAGTATTTTTTAAGACGAAATTATATGTGAGTTCAGCTTAAATCCATTTAAGGTAGGTTTCAAGCATGTTAGATTTTGTGATCCACCATAAATATTTTAATATGAAATATTAACATATTTAAAAAAAATAATTAAAAATAAATAAAAAATTGTTTTCAATGAATTTTTGAATAGCAAAAATTTCAAATTCAAAATAGTTTTGTGAATTGGATTATAAGTTTGTGAACTCATGAGTTTAGGTTTAGATTCAGTTAATGAAAAATATATTTTTCTATTAAATTTTTATTTGATTAATAATTTATTTTTAGTTTTTAAAATATCCTAGTACATGAACTAATTATATGATGAAAATAAATGTATTCATGAATATAAACATTCATGAATTTCTTATGAATTTTCATGAATCATGAGTACTTCATTATTCATAATTAATAAACATTCATAGTAAGTTATGGAGATTCATGAATTATGAATATTAGTATTTTAGTTTTTAAAAATGTGTTTGGCAATGTGGCATAATTGTGTTTTTGAAAAACATTATTTTTAAAAAAATTAATTTTTTTATTTTTGAATTATTTTGATATACTAATATTAAAAAAATTACATTTATAAGCAAAAAAAAATATGAAGATTCATGAATTATAAGTATTAGTATTCTGGCTTCTAAAAGCATGTTTGACAACGCAATATGATCGTGATTTTACAAAAAAAATAATTTTTTAAATTATTTTAACATATTAAAATTTAAAAAAATAAAAAATATTATTTTGATATATTTTTAAACAAAAAATATTTTAAAAAAATTACTATTATAATATTAAACAAACTCTAAATCTTATAAATAGGTATTTTAGATGAGGTGAAAAAGTATCCATAAAATTTCTTAAGTTCTTTCCTTCTTTTGTTATTTTTTTTTTTAACTTATTGCTCTACATTAAAGCTTATTGGTCTTTAAAAAGAGATATTGAATATAATTTATTTAAATTTATTAAATCTTATTTAGAAGTGCTTTCTTTTAAACAAAGCGGTGGTATTGTAATACGAAGTGATTTATTGGAGAAATTTACGTGAGTAACAATAAAATTCTAAAGACAATGGATTGATTTTAAATAATAATAAAGCTTGATTAATTTTAAAGTGCTTCAATGAGTATTTATTTTATTTTTAATTTAATTATAGATATTTTATTTACTAGTATGCATATTAAAACTTAATTTGAAATCAATTACAAGTTAAAATATATATAAATCACTATATTATCGTGTGTGTGTGAAATTAGATAACATTAGTTGTATAACTTTATCTTGGATATTTAATTTGATTAGGATGATTTTTGTGTTGTTAACTTAAACAATTCTTGATCACTAATTTAACATTTTTTTATTTCCAAGTTAAGTTGTAGAGTTTTAATTTAATTTCCTAGTTAAGTATTTTGGATATATATATATATATATATATATATATATATTTTCAAATTTGATTTTCTCAAAGAGGGAGAGTTGAGCACATGTATCCACTAGCTTGTCATCATAGCAAAAGGAAGCTTGGAAAAAATGGATTTCTCATTAATCATTTGTGGCCCTGAAAAAACAAATAAGAATACAAACTATAAGGAGTTTCTCTTAAGCAGCTTAGAAAAATGGATTCTCAATGATCAGTAGTAGCTTGTTTTTCTTGCCAGGCATACTGCAATTGAAAAATACATACGAACACGAACTGCATGGATTTTTTTTTCAATTCGACACAAGCCATCCAGAATTAAACTGGGTTATGGCATTTGAGCGATGTTCTTTTTCTGCAGCCTACTTTGGATCCTTGGGAATAGTAAGTCATTCAGTTGTCTTTCAGCACTATATTCTGAGGTTGCCTGCAGAAACAATGGAGTTGAGAGAAGGAAGCATGTCATGAGTAAAGGCAGGCCAAATTTGAAGTGGACCAGAAACAATAGCATGACTAGAAAGCAAACTAACTGGTAAATGCAGCTGATCAACAGGTACTGGCATCAGCAGAAACAATTGCTTACAAAAGCACATACCCTTGAATTGAAGGCAAACCGCAATGTTTGGATTTGCGTTCCAGAACAAACTCTCAAATCAAATCCAAGAGAATCTACATCAATAATCATTGCCTCCTGCAATATAATAAGAAAACTGATTATTTATGAACTGAAAGTAAGCAACAGAAAAATGAATTCGTGTTTGAAAATCAATTAGTGTTTGATGCTTCAGGTAATCTAAGTCCAGCGACAAAAACCAAAAATCAAAATCTAAAATATTTTCAAGAGCTTTGGATTTGTCTGAGGTTTTCTTTTTTTGAAAAAAAAAAAAGGAAAAAACAACATGAAAATTGCATGGTTATGTTTCACAATGGGTTGCCTAACTAAACATTCAGACAGGAGCAAGAAAGGCAATAGTTCAAAAAACAATTATAAACTTCAAGTTAAATGATAAAATTTTCACACAGGGTGTAGTTCAATGCTTACTGATGAACTGAACTTCCATGTATTACCTCCACTTGGATACCCTTGCATCTCCAACACAGAGACTTAAAGGCCTGCATAATCTTTTCACCGCCAGCTTTCAGGCGAGATATGATTTTGGCTGCTGAAAGTGCAATCGCATCAGGTTGTGCTTTCCTAAAGTCTTCTACTTCAACTGTAGTCTTTATAGAACAAGAGAAGGAGAATTAGTTCCTTGTGACAACTTCTTTCTCATATGTTATCAATTTATGTCCGCAAAAAAATAAGAACATACTTGGTGTCCATGAGCTGAAATCAGCTGAATTTTAATCATCTCCAGCTTGTAAAATGAAGCTCCACTACTTGGAACCTCATCCTTTTCCAATTCCTCCCGCCACAATGAAATATCTTCAGATGATCCTGAATTATGTTCATGACCATTTATCACACCAGGTTCTTCTAGTTTGCCTTCTATGCTTTGCCCAACCTGATTTGTACCAGCATGATGAGACTGATTGCCAGACATATGTCTCTGGATGTCAGATTGCTCTTCCATGAAGGCAGGTCTAATAAGGCCCTGGATAGCTACACCAGCAGGAGGCTGCTCCATCCAGTCTATAGGATCATCTGAAGCAACCTACGACACCCAAACAAGAAATAACATAGAAATGTAAGAACTCAGCTAAGGTCGCAAACCATGGCAATTCCAAAATTTCACGATGATGACAAAAAATATACACTCTGCAAGTAAGAAAGCAACCATTGATGATCTTTACACCGTTATGAAACAAAAGGAATTTACATTTTCTTCCTAAGTGTGTATCAGGTCAAAAATTCACAATGGACAAGTACCTGAGCCAGCTTTTTGGCAAAATACATTGGATGAGAAGAGCTCATAGTCTCTAATTTTGCCCAGTCTCCAAGTGCCTCATCATCATCATCTTCCTCATCATCATCATTAAGAACAGCCACCAAATCCTACAAACAAGACAAAGAAATGTGTTGCAGAAAACACAATTCAAACGCTTTTACATTTTAAAGCTAAAACCCAACAGCAAGAATGGACTGAAAAGAAAAGAGAAACCAAACCTCATCATAGTCGTCATCATCCTCGTTGACCCCATCTTCAACATCACTATCTTCCTCTTCTATTTCCTCAACCCCAAAATCAATTTCTGATGTACCCAATGACTCCATCTCACTGAGCATTTCCGTGGCATCAAACCCTATAATGGCTTGCTGCATGTTGCATAAACCTCGTAAACTCAAGAAACTCGCAAGAAAATAAGGGGCATTTGAATTCCCCCCTTTATTAAACATTGCAATGTGTCAACCCTTTTCTTTTCCCCTCTAATAAAAAATTTAGAATGCCAAAAGATATGTGAGAAAATGCCATTTTGTTTTCAAAATCCAAGGAGAAGGTTTTCTTCATAATCTGAACACCAACTTGGCACGTCAATGCAGTAAACGGACACAATATTGCTAATATCCACCACTTGTCAGTTACAAGGCCAAGCAATGAAAATAATATGCCACAATTTGTCACAAAAATGTTTTCCTACATAATCTTAGCATCAACTTGAGATATTAAAGCAATTCACAGGATATCCGGCCAAAAAAGACACTCCATACCACAAAGTTATTTTCTGTAGTAAGTGTTTGCAAAATGTCTTCATCATTCTTCACTTGTAAGTATATATCTGCAATGTATTAGAAACAATTAGCACTTCAATGTGCAACAACACTTCTGCACCTGGATTAAAGTCCGTGAGCAAGACAATGTCAAAGTTCAAAGGCTTGACTTACTCCCATGTTCATCAGTCACATAAGGCAAGTCTGGCCAGATAATGTTCTCATGAATATCATCATTGATCACACCAGTCAACATTAATGTTGCTTTGCTTTTCGCCTGACATAACATACTACAGGCAACATTAGCTCTGCAAACTGGCATAAAATAACAATCAATATACATGAAGAATTATGATATAGTGAAAGTTGTAACAGCTTGATTTTATGAGGACTGAATGCATTTCTCATCCGCTCTGGATTTGTAACAAATATATAATCCTTTGCAATAAAACCTATACATGATTTCTTTTTTTTTATTCCTTTCCAACTCAATCTCCTAGTCTGCTGTTTCTTTAAGCAGGTTGTACTGGAAATTAGCTTTATATGAAGGATAACTGCTTGATGTAATATGTAATATAAAAATGTTCAGAAGGCAATCAAGGGAGTAACTTTCCCCAGTTAATCTCTTGTAATTATTATGCCAGTATCAAACTAAACTTCTTAGATGGGTGATATTGAAAAGTTCATTTCAGCATGGTCTAGTTATCAGTATTATCACCATTGCTTCAGCATCAATCATGAGACCATAAAATTTGCAGATTTTCAAATGAAGGATAACTGCTTGATGTAAGATGTAATATAAATATGTTCAGAAGGCAATCAGGGGAGTAACTTTCCCCAGTTAATCTCTTGTAATTATTATGCCAGTATCAAACTAACCTTCTTAGATGGGTGATATTGAAGAGTTCATTTCAGCATGGTCTAGTTATCAGCATTATCACCATTGCTTCAGCATCAATCATGAGACCAAAAAATTTGCAGATTTTCAATTTTGAACTCAATATGCAACCATCATTTATATAGATCATAAATGCTCAACAAAGAGCTCTAGCTAGGTCATTTGGATGTTGTTCACATGTGAAGGGTCATACACTTGAGTGATATTGTTATTTTTTGTAGTGCTGACATGGGGTTAGACTCATGTCACAAAAAAAAGAACTAGGAGCAGCAGAAGTCATTCTACATCGAAGTGATGGCTAGAAAATGTAAACTGATACCTCAACAATAGTCCTACATGTTTCTTGAGGTGTAAGCATAGCATCACTACTTGTTTCTGATGTTGACTCTGCAATCCCCTCAGATGGATGGTATTGCAGTTTACCATTCTGCTTTGAAGAATCCAAGTTTGAATCTAAATTCTCAGCAGACGCTTGAATCTTACTCTTTAAATGACTGCTCCTTCTTAAGAAAGAAACATCATTTAGTCTTCGAAATTTATTCCTGCATTGATATCAAAAATTACTTGTCCTTAATATCAGCTAATGCTTATACAAGGTTTCAAAGAATTTAATGAAATAAAAACAAAAATATGAACCATATGCATGCTAAATTAAGAACAAAAAGTGTCGCTATTATGATAGAAAATGGTAATGGAGGATTTAGCAGCTCTGATCTTTTGTCAAAATAGGTTATTTGAGCTTCCATGTAAATTGGAAGGAAGTTGATTGTTTTATATAATTTCTAACAATGAAAATGTTGTGTTTGTTTTAACATCCTTCACCTTTCAAGTTTAAATACTATTACTAGAGAAATCACCTCTTCATCGCACACTTTCTGATATGTAAACAAACCATAATGCTGAGCAAATTGTATTGTGATGTGTAGATGGAGAATGCCAGCTCTAATCAACATTTGAGAAAAACAGGCTCCATGAGTTTGAGCACAGGATTGAGTGACAGCAGGCCCAAATAAAATCTATTGAGTTATGGAGCTGATCTTCATGATATATGAAGACCCTCGAATTCACAACTTGATCAAAACCAACCCATCAGATCATACCATCTCTAACTAGTCTATAAACTGTCCATCAGCCACTTCATGACCAGCATTTACTCCTGAATTCCACCAAAAGGATGACAATTCACACCTTCTCCCACCATCTTAGACATATATATAACCCCCCATCAACACACAAAGTTCAAGTTTTTCAAGCCATTTTTAACATAGAAGCATTTACTCCCATCTCCCAAAGTTTTTTTCTTTTTCATACCATTACCCCTTCATTATAGCTTGTACATGATGGTAACATAAGCATCAAAAAAATCCCACCTTTGATTTCCTTTCTTTATGCAAAGCCACATCCATGCTAAGCTTAACCAGTACAAGACCAGGTTCATCACTTACTTTTCTACCCCAAAACTCCCAATTTACTTCAAATTAAGAACCCAAAAAGGTGGGGGGGAAAGGTGCATTTCCACTGATCCTAAAAACCCACTTTTATTTTTCTTGACACGCAGTAAAAATTTAGACTTTACACAGTATCCAGCACAATAAAACATAGAATCAATAAAGGAATAGATTATTCTCTTTCTCTTTAATCAAGTAACAAAAATACTTCAACACAGTACAATGGCAGGCATTAGTGTAATTTATTCAGCAAAATCCCCACATTACAAGCTCTAAAGAAACAGAAAGGAAAAAAGGGGAATCTAAACAGATTTTCATATCAATAATCAGAGATTACCATCAAAATCCTTGCTCCAATAGAAAAAATGAAACCGAAACAAAGAATGAAGCAATTAGAGAATGCAAGTGATAATGATAGTACAACTGTATAACACACACTCTATAATGGAATCTCTGATCTATGACACGTTGCTAAGATATTCGCATTTTAAGCTCTTACTGAAAAAGAAATGAAAGCTCGTGAAAATTTGATATTTAGTTACCAAAGAATGACAGGGCTGCTGCGGGGCAAGGAGGAGAAGAAGTTTGCAGCAGGAGTGGTGGAGGGGGGGAATCGGACCGCTGTGGTGGTTTCAATCATCATTGCCATGGCCATCACCATTTCTTTCTTCTGTTTGCTTACTGTTTTTTTTTAAAGGCTAGGGAGCTTAGCTTGGAAATATCCGTGTAAGGAAGGGGTAGCTGATTTTGAGGATGACTGGATTTGGATTAGAGGTTGGGATTCTGTGCAAATGCTCATATACTTGCATCTCCTCCTATTGGACACGTGGTGCATCACCTTTTGTTTTGTACTGAGTTACTAAACGTGGCCTGTTCCAGTGCTCGGCTTATATGTTTCCCATATTAATTTGAATTAATTAAAATTATATTGTTTGAAAAAGAAAAAAGATGCAAGTTATCTAAGTCATATTAAATTAATTTTTATTTTTATTTTAACCTAATCTAATTTAAATTCAAGATGTAATCGATAATAATTTTATATATTTCAATGACTTATTATATTAATTAATTTTATTTATTATGGTTAAATTTCGAATTAGTTTTGACTGGCTAAAACTAAATTCTTCACATCACATTTTAAATAAATCATTTATAATTATTCTATTACATCCATAAAAAAAAAAACTATATTTTTTACATTTTTTTATTATTTGAATCTTATATAATAAAGTAAAATGATTAATTAAGTTAATTTTTTTAAAAAAATAAAGTTACTTATCATTTAATCAAATATATAAACAATATAAATAATTCATATTAGGACCATAAAATTAGGGCTAATAAAATCCAATTTATGTTATCAATATGGGATATAATTTGTGTTGATCGTATGAAATGAAGGCTTTCACACCAAATCAGCACATAGAGGAAGATCTAGAGCTGGTTGTAGGGAATAATTTCTCTAAATGGAACGCACCGTTTTGCTGCTGCAAAAAAGGAAATATGAAATATCTATCCATTTGTGACTTGTCTATCTATCTGTCTTGTGTTTGGCTGCTAGAAAGAAAGAAAAAGCGAGAAAATAAGAGGGAAAAGAAAAGAAAATCAAGATAACAAATTTCCCAGTCTGACACTCACACTCACTCCATCACAGCTTCTCCTTCTTCAACTTCTGTCCGGTAACTTCCTCTCTATCTGATTCTAATTCTTTTTGTTTGCTGAGAAAGTCTAAAATTTGAAAACAAACAAACACATTACATTTGTAATTTTCCTCATGGTTTTGTTTCATTTAGTTAGTGTTAGAAATTTCAGAACTTTACTATATAAACCTTAACTAGAACTAAAGAGTTTGGAAGAACTAGTTGTGTTATGAGCTAATCAGTTCACTTTTTTGTGTTTAAAGCAGGATGCTTTGTTTAAGATATTCGTTGCCACTAATTCCAAATAGATTGCAGTCCTTTGATACTACCAGGAATACCAAAATCTGTGTTGTGGTAAAGCTTTTTTTTTCTTCTTTGAACGGAATCGTTTACGATGGGAAATGGTGTTTTGTGTTATTTAGTAATTATTTGGATTTGTTGATGAATTTTATAGGTTTGTGCTGCTAAAGGTCCACGACCAAGATATCCGCGAGTTTGGAAAACAAAAAGGAGAATTGGGACTATCTCAAAATCAGCGAAGCTTGTTGATTGTGTAAGGTTGTTTTTTTTTTTTTTTTTTTTTTTTTTTTTTTTTTTTTTTTTTGTTTTTTGATACTCCTTTTGTTTGATTTGGGACAAATTGTCTTTTTGTTGGACAAGGATTTGGAATTTCAGGCATTGTTGAATTTCAGGCATTGTTTTCAAGGTTGAGAAACATGTTAGAATGTAGTTTTGAAGCACTAAGGAATTAGTGGAATGGGATTATGTTTTGCAATATTGAGATGCCAATTGATTTTGGGTTGTGGTTATGTAGATAAAGGGATTGTCTAATGTCAAGGAGGAAGTGTACGGGGCTCTTGATTCCTTTGTTGCTTGGGAATTGGAGTTCCCACTAATTGCAGTTAAGAAAGCATTAAGAGCTCTGGAGGAGCAACAAGAATGGAAGAGGATAATTCAGGTATTGGGAACCAATTTTTTCTTTCTTTTTGTTCACATTTCCTTCTGTGGCTATCTATGGGAATGGGTGTCTTGGTTTATCTGCTGAAGAAAATATTGGATTGTAGGTCACCAAGTGGATGTTAAGCAAAGGACAAGGAAGGACAATGGGAACTTATTTCACATTAATGAATGCTTTAGCTGAGGATGGAAGACTTGATGAGGTTGAAGAGCTTTGGACAAAATTATTTTCACAGTACTTGGAAGGCACACCTCGAATGATGTTTGATAAAATGATTTCTATATATTACAAAAGGGACATGCATGACCAGATATTTGAGGTATTGTTGCATGCCATCTTCCTTTTTCCTGCAACTTTTAGTTTTTTTTTTAAGAATTAATGACTAGGTTTTATAGAGCAGAAAGTCTCTATGTGTCATGTTCTGTTACAGTGAAGACATGGAAGTTGATTTTATGACATCCCACAGACATCGTATGTATTGTGTATAGTGAGATCTATCAATTAATCAGATCATAAATCTATTCATAACACCAGGATTCGGTGATGTACTCTCACTTAGCAGTAGCCCAAAGATTCTAAAGGTTGACTAGGATCAAGTCTTATAATCCGGTCCTATCTCATTCTATCTAATCCAGGCATGTTATAGTAGTGATGCCACAGTTTTAGAGATAAACTGAGCTGTTGCAATACAAGCATTTTGACTTCTCATGGTTGAATTAAGTTGCTTGCCAGTGTCTGTGGATATATTATTGTATCCCATAGGTTTCAACCTGATGATTGGATGGTTTTGGTAACTACAAGGGAATGGTGTGTCAGTTAGCCACATTATGCCAGATTCTATGCTAATGACTACTACAATCCTCTCTTGTGAGGCACATGATTAGCAGTAACTTCTCAGATTAATATTTGAATTAATCCCTCCATTTATGTTTTCTTCTCCTTATTGTTTCAATTAGAAAATTCCAATCAACATGATCTTTTAATGACCCTGAATATGATGCGGATGATGGATATCCTTGTCTTGCTTTTGGAAACAGTGTTATATGGCACTAACCGGATTGTAGTTCATATTGGAATACCTGAATTACCTTGTTATATTAATTTGATCTCTCATTCTTGCAGATATTTGCTGATATGGAGGAGCTAGGTCTCCGCCCAAGTGTTTCAATTGTCAACATGGTGGGAAATGTCTTCCAGAGATTGGGTATGATGGACAAGTATGAAAAATTAAAGAAAAAATATCCACCACCGAAATGGATTTACCGATACATCAAAGGGAAGCGTATCAGGGTTCGAGCAAAGAATGACAATGAAGTTGGTGATGTTAACAGTTTTGCAAGTGGGGAGGCTTGCCATGATGATGAATTAGATGGCATTAATGATGTTGCAAGTGGGGATGAGGAGGCTTCCCGTGACAATAAATTGGATGGCATCAATGATGCTGCAAGTGAGGATGAGGAGGCTTTCCATGATGAGAGTGAAGTAGGTATTCGCTTTGATGCGAATGAAGTCGGTGTGGAAACCAATTTAAGTTCCAATGATTTTAGTGTTGAAGCTAACAGTTTTCTCTCTGAGTGTCAAAATCAGGATCGATTGCATTGGGAGCATAATCAGCCTTCGGGTGTCAGCAATTCCAGCTAGATTCATTTGAAAAACTGACGTTCGCGATACTGAAAGAACAGATTGTAGTGCTGCTCGAAGACATCAGAGCCATAATCCAAGAAACATGTCCAAGCCCATCAGATAACCGTTCCTGGATGGTTGGAATTCAAGGTCCTGGCATATGCCATTGCCAGTGTGTTTCTTGTATGGATCAATCAGAATGGCTATTGTGCAACCACTCTTCTGGAACCGAAGTTACTCCTGGAATGTGGAAGAGAGAAAGGGTAGTGATAGAGAAAGATGAAATGATTCTACACATCAAAGTATGGAAGCATCTTCAAAATAGAATGGATTCCCTGTTTTCTAGTTGCATAACAGTTTGTGAAAATGCAAAGAATATTGATATTCACTTGCCCCTCTCTCTTCTTTTCTTTTCCTTGTCTTATTGACATCAAAGGGCACTCTGCAAGTCATTTAGTGACTAATACAACGACTGAACTCCTTTCAATAAGATCAACTAAAAGGGTAAATTTCAAGAATTTGTGCTTAAGAAGAGGGAATTTTTTTATACATCCAACCGATAGGTAAATCTTTAAACTTCAAAGACCAGTGTGTTTAATTAGAATTCCGAAAGAAAAATGACATACATATTAAACATGTTTAATTAAAAACCACACCTCAAGAATATTTTTAAAATGATTGCTTTTATTTTCAAAACAAAAATCACATAAAAACATGTCCCTTCAATAATCATTGTTTGTTTTTTTCTTTTCTTTTTTCCAAGAGAGTAACTACCCTTCGATCCCAAGCATATTTTCTATCCATCCTAAGATAGTAACTAAAACATAAGTAGGGTTCAAAATTTGCATGCCCAAGAGAGAGAGAGCACCGATATTCCCAAAGTGGAGTTGAGCAACCAGCTAGAAATTACCACCTCTAATTGTCACATGCAATGACGTCCTCCGCCCAGATATTGTTTTTCCATACAAGCACAAAATATGATGACCGATGAAACTAAAATGGAAGTAGAAACTAAAATGGGCTAAAATCAGTCTGTAACTCAGTGTGTGGTATCAAAAATATGGAAGCATTCTGTCGCCAAGCTAGAAGAGAAACAGATACCATCACTACCGTAGTTGCTCAAGTTATTCCACGATATAATTTATAAGAGAAAAAATGGTTAATTCTATTCGTTGACAATCAAAACAGCATATTTCATTCCTCATCTGAACCTGAACCTTCTGAGCTCGAGTCTTTTTTATGCACTTTGCCATTGGCAGCAGGGCCCTTCTTCTTCGTATCCTTTTTGTCTTCCTCATCTTCACTGTACTCACTCTCATAATCATCATCATATTCTTCTTCATCCTCCTCTTCCTCTTCAATTCCATCTTCCGCATTGGGTCCCTCTTCAGTTACCAAACCACCCCGAGACCCAGCCCGTGTTCGTTTCAGAATTTTGACCTTCAAATTCGTCTTCATGTCACAGCCAATCCAGGAGTCGCACAAGCAGTAACATGTCAAATTGTAGTTCCCCTCTGCTGGGGCAGGGAACTTGCCCATCACTAACCTAGAGCCACTCCGCACCTTCTGAGCTGCTTCTCTAACTGCTGCACTAGTCTCTTTAACACTAGCTCCTGAACCCTCCATTGTATCTTCAATTGCCTTGGAAGCAGCAATTATAGCTGAAGCTTCATCCATAAAATTTACCTTCTGGGAAAACCAAACATTATTTGAGACGGAGTCAGCGAGCAGAAACCAGAAATTTTCTTCCTTGTGAAATGGGAAGTTGGGTGCATGGGGAAGTGCACCCACTAGACCATTAGCACGTTTGAGTGTTATCCAAGCTTGTATGGTAACAATGTCACCCTCTTGTATGCCCTCTTCACCTTCAGTCTCACATCTAACCTCGACTGTTACAGAAGGCATCATTCCCAATACCATCTCAACATCTTTTACTTTATCAGAGGAAAATCCAGCTACTTGCTCAAGCAACTCTGCACGTTCTTGGAGAGTCATGTCACGGAAATCCTCAAATGTTCTCACCTTCTGCAATCAGAAAGCAAAAATCATGAACAAGAAGAAAACAGGAGACCAATAACTAAAGAAAATAAAGGATTATTGTCAATTTGAAGGGAGAATATTCTTCATCCGGACCAGAGAGAGATGATATTTGTCTAGGAACCAAAAAATGATGTCAGTGTATCAAGCATGTATTTGTTATTAAACCACACAGGCAGAAATAGATAAGTATGAAGGACTACTGCTTCATACATGATGCTTCATAGGCTGTATACTAATTTAGTTTCTGAACTCATGGACAGCAAGAAAATGAAGAGTTCACATCCACAGCTCGCAAAAGGCTCGTTGAATTATTGTATTCGAATTATGACATATAATTTTTTCACCTACCTTGCGTGCTATCTTCTTGATAACAGACTCACTAAAATGAGGCAGCTGCAAAAAGGGTGCACATTCAGTGGATCCACCTGTTGCCTTCCTCGCACTGAGAGGAACAGCCTGTATCACAGTTAACCAATGAATCATGTCAATCATCAATTATCAGTAGAATAGAAGAAGGCATGTTGAATCATCCAGCACAGGTTACAATCATATGGCAGTGGTTAGCTAAGATGGGACCCAGAGAATACAAACTATTCATGATTCCTTGCAAATATGTATACGGCAGAGCAAAAAGAAATCAGGTTTTCAAATAGATGAGAGAAGACAGCCAAACAGGTTTCCCAAGTCAAGCGTAACTAGATTCCAAAGCCTCACTACTTAAATCCTGAAATGAGCATCAAACAGAAGAAACACAATAGGGACAGCCAAATTGAAGATAGCAGGGACTAGTGCACTGACAATACAACTATCAAAATTTATGTATTACTGGAAACTGAAAAAATAATTATGCAACCATGTATGTTAAAATATTCAGAGAGTATGGAGAACAGTTGCATCAAAAGAAGAATAGAGAATTTGAGGAAATCAACAGTGCATGACAAGAAATAGCAGGCTCTAGCACTGACAAGTTTTCATTTCTATGAATACCAGACATAAAAGAACTAAAATCACTGTTGTGGAAACCATTAAAGTCTAATAACTAGTGAAATGTAGATTATCGATTTTTTATCTGTGATATTTGTAAAAAGTTTCTCTAGGCTTCAATTATCTATAACCATAACCAGTAAATAGGGTAAAATCAACACCTGAATAATGCATTGAGAGAGCTCAACAACCCCAGTTGCAGGTCTCAGCCATCCAAGTCCCTGAGAGGTGCGTGGTATGACTGCCATCTGAATAGAGAGAAAAGAATTAGTATTCAGAAGGTAAGGAATTAGACTTTAGTAATCTACTTATTGAATGGCTTGCAGCATGAAAAGAAACACTTATCAGTGGAAAATCACAGCAGAATGACACATAAGCTACTGCATTTGAAAAAGGTAACAAAGAGTGAAAGAGAAGCAAATGACTCCACTTCATCTCTTCTACTTTGGCCAATGTAACTTCACAAGGTAATAACACCTTTCTTAGCAACTTGTCATTTCAGTAGGAGACAAATAAACATTACCAGGTAATATAAGTGGTGTTAATATAATCATCCTTCAAGGAGTCATCCTTAAAGGACACCAGACCAGCATCCTTGGATATAATCACAGAAACTGTGTTTCTGACATTTCTCATCTACTTTTCAAGTTCGTACAACTGTATCTAAGTAATTCAACAAAAAGGCAATCCCTCACACACACACATACAGTCGACTATCTATTTATTACTCTACATGACATTGAGAAGTGTACTTATCTTCAACCGTGAAGCATGGAAGACAAATATCTTACTGGGAAACATTCATTACCTATAAAAAAACGAGTACCAAAGAAGACAGACCCATTCAAGTTCCATTAGAGACAAACTTTCCAATGACAACTTCACAAACATGCCAAGATTGTGGTTCAAATGGTTTCCAAATTACAATGAAAGCTTTATTCTGCTATGTGTGGAACCACTCGGTAGTATGCACTTAATACCACGTCTTGCCTTGTGCAAAGCAAAGGTTTTGAGCTACATAAGACATGCAAATGGTTTATGCATCACATTATTAATGACCCAACAGAATAATCCTTCATTTTTCAGCTTCAAAATCAACTTGAAGAATGAACACAGAATGCAAGACCACCTTCATCAATTCTTCAAGAAGACGAGGTGCAAGTTCTAGAACGCGTCTGAAATCTCCCAACAAAGTTGGTGGCAAGTCTGCTGATTTGCGTGTTAACTGAGCCTGAATTAACAGCTCTGTCTGAACAGAAATGAAGATTAATAACTGTATTAACTTCATAAGAATTCAGTGCTAGGATTGCTCATTGTTGCACAATCTAACAATCAAGCTACCTTAACTAATGCAGGATGCTGCTTCCAAAACTTAGCCTGCTCTTGCTTAATGTTCTTGAGGTCCAGATTCAATTCACTCCTGACAGATATAAACAGCTTCTGAAGTGGTTCATTGTCAGTCCTCCGAATTGGAGATTCCATATATTCAGCAGCCTTAATGAAGACTTCCATTACTTTGCTGCATAGTCAAGTCATAACATGACACGATAAGCAACCATGATACCCAAAGATGTAGAGGTACAAAAGATCATATTAGGAAGGAAAAAGATGTGTGTCTGAAGATTTACAGATACAAGGGAATCAAAACTGGATTCTCCTAAATAAGGGAAATAAAAAAAATGCAATAATTATGTATTTTGGCATGGTTATAATGAAAATAGCAAAATATTTACTGAAATTGTACTCTGCAATAAAAGTATTTATTATGCCCTTCACACCATCTTGAAGTCTGCCCAACATCTATTTCTACAGATAAGGGTAAAAAGCATTGGATGCTCCAGAAAGAGGAGAAATTTCCCAAACATTTGACAAAAGCAGCGACACTTGGACATCATAATCTAGCAGAGACTATGATTATTCTCTTATTTCTTGATAAAATAAATCTGAAAGTAACAACTGATTCTAGCACCTAGGATTCCAACTTCAGAGAAGGCATTAAAATTGGTAAGCTGGGCAACTTTGCAATACCAACTGTGCTTACATAGAATTGCTGGTGAAATGCCATACTAAGGCAATAACTTCTACTTATACACTTTACACGGAATTGAACCACCACTAAATTGGCACCATGCTGGTAGGAAAGAGTCCATTTTACTCTAATAAGGTCATGGTTTGGAATACTATTTTCACAAGTAAAATTCAGAGGAAAAAAAAGAGTATATGTGCTCTTGCTTACAGAAGAAAAGTTGCTCATACAATTCCAAATAATTGCTTAGTCTGTATTTAATAATTACCTTGGGGCCAAAGACGGTTTCATGAAGTAATAATATGCAGATAGAGTTTGGTGCATGACATAATTTCCAGTATATTTGGCCGACCTTGAAAGATATATTACAGCTATAACCAATGGCAAGAGAATACATATCCCAACAATCCAAAGTAGAAGTATTCCGCCAGATGCCCCATCAATATCAAGCAAAAATTGAGGAAGAGCTATGCCCATTTGGAAACCCTGAAAGAATTTTTTATGAAGATTAGTTTCAAAAATTGAATTATTTCAAGAAACACATTTGTAGGCAAATGTGCATTATTTCTTACAGACACAGCAGAACATCACCTGTCTACCATCAGGATGACCATATTTCTCATAATTCTCACGTGATATTGGATCAGTCAAAGCTTGATAAGCTTTCGTAATGAACTCTACAAAATACTTGTTGGCCTCTGGAAAGGTATAAGAAATGAGAAGAATACAGTTAGTAAACCCACACTGCTCTTTAAAACCCGTCTTCCATGACAGTTCAAAGATAAAACAAATACAACCGAAAAATCTAAAACACCATCAACCTGGATCAGGATTTTTATCAGGATGGTACTGAATAGAAAGTCTCCTATAATTCTTCTTTATTTCCGAATCCAAAGCACCAGGCTCCAGTCCCAGAATAGCATATGGATCGAAAACTTGAATCTAATCAAAACAACCAAAAACAAAACCCCCCATCAAATCCAACATACAAAACCCCAATCTCACTAAAACCTGAACAAAAAACATATAACCAACACCTTCTCATTTCCAAACAATTACCTCACGACTCATATTCTTAATGTAATAAACCAAAAATATCATTACAGCCCAAAGCAATATCAACGTCAAGTTACTGTAGGTCGAAAAGTTCGAAATCTGCCAAAACAACAAACAACAATTAGAACACAATAACTCTAAAATGAACAAAAACACACAACTTTACCAACTCACTGACTGACTCACCCTTTTAAATATAGATTTCCGATACTTGCCAGACCGCACACACTCAGAGCAGTTACAGTGAATACTCTTACTCTTCTTCGAGGCGGCTCGGCATAGCTTCATAACCGTGTATGGCACTAAAGGTATTGCCATTATCGTTAAGATAAAAATTGGAAACAATGCACTGTTCTCTTCCGATGCCGCCATGATTAATTAATTAATTAATTCCCTTCTTGTGAATCCTAAATTTGCAGATGTTCAGTTCATCAAAAATAATCAAATCAAAATTAATTAAAAAAATAAAGTTCTAATTAATCAAAATTGACTCAAATCTTAGAGGAATTGATGAGAAGGAGAGATTTTTTCTGGTACCGGAAAATCGGAGAGAAGGAGAGATCGGCGAGCGGATTTGTCCGTGCGATCGGGGAGGTAGGGATTTTTTGGGTTTGGGTTTTTATGATTTTTGTGAGATCCGAGAAGAGACGTAACGGAAAGGTTTTTGGAGCGTGGTTTTACCATTTTATCCACCGAGAAATTTTAGTTTTGGGAGTAAGTTATAATTTAGTCCTTGTAGTTTAATCAAATTGATTTATTGGTACTTGTAGTCTTGGGATTAAAATTGTCATAATTCAGTTCTTCTGGTAGCTTTATACTTTTTTATTTATTTAAAAAATAATAATGAAAATAGTGTAACGTAAAGGGGGGATTTTTTCTATTAAAGAGAGTATTTTTTAAGAAAAAAATATTAAATTGAGGATGATCAAAATCAAATGAAGAACTATTTTATTGTTTTTGATATAAGAGAGAATAATTAAATAGTTTCGAGGAATATATTGTGAAATTTTGTGGAAATTCACTCCTTCTATATTTTGCCACTTTTCATTTTTTTTCCTCCAAATTCTCACATTCACAGAAATGCTCTTGCATTTTGAAGTTAAATAAAATAATTCAAAAGTGAGCTTAATATTTGTTTTTGACAGCAAGGGTCAAATAGAAACGTTTTCAAAAATTTAGGTCAGTATCGAGAAGTCCTTGAACTTGGGAACTGAAAATATATAAGTGAAAATGTAACTTATCCTTTGTAGTTTTACACATGGTGTCTCGGATGGTGGTGGGTGGAGTGTTTTTGTTTATGGTAATGAAGTTGGTGTTTTTTAATTACATTATTGATTGATTTCCATGTATTATACAGATTTTATTCAAAAAAAGAATATGTGCAAATATAACACCAAAGTTTAATATAAATACGAATCTAGTTATTATAATACCAACTCAGGCATTATTTAGAGAAAGTTTGGTATTATGTATCTTTTGCTTTATGTCTACAGATGGATAAAAAATCATATGGTGAGTTAAATAATTTTTATTTTATGCACTAGCTTCATATATAATTACATTTTAAATTTAAATTTTATTAAAGGTAAAATAACACATTTTTTATTTATATAATAGTTTTAATCACACACATATCTTTTAAATTTATTTTTTAAAACTATAAGCATTAAAATTTATCTTAATACCAAATTAACTCTCGTATCAGTGATGAAATAGCAATTGATTGTTTGGGACAAGATATGTTTCTTCTATATTAATTTAATTTGAGGCAGTGGAAAGTGCTTTATCCTCCAGATATTTCCCATTAAATAAAAATACATATGTTGACTTATAATTATAATATAATCTTTGAGTATTTGATGGTTAACACATGGTGCAAAAATAAATTATAGTTTTTTCCATACAACCATGGTGTGTGTCCACATTCATTGGCATGCGAATGTGGCAATCAATTAATCAACATATTAACTATCATATTGATAAATTCGTCAACTATTGACTTATCGTAATGTAATGGAATTCTAATCCTAATCTTAAAAGTTTCTCGATCGGTGTACGGTGAAGATTATTCTATAAGGTGCACATGAATTGTATCTCAACTAGTTATTTCATCCATGTTTTATAGGTTTTTTCTTATGTTTTTTTATATAAAAAATTTTCAAGCATAAACCAAAATAATTATACATATATTTAATTAAACAAAATGATATTAGATAAATAAACAATTAAAATAATAAATAAATAATTAAAATTAAAATATTTGATCTCGTAACACTAAATAAAACATGTACTTAGTAACGTTTAGTAGTCATTTTTTTTTAAATAATTTTTTTTGTCTAATCAAATTATCATTCATTCCAATAAAAGTTTAAAAAAGTTATTATCAAATGTGAATAAAATAAAATTAAAAAAATTTATTATAAAATAACTTAAAATTAAATAATAAAATTAAAAAATTAAAAAACAAAAAAGAATTTTAAATCAAGTCAAGTTCGCTAGCATCACAACCAACTAAATATTTTGATATGATTAACAGTTAAGTAATCTTACCATGCACAAAAAATAGAAATAGCCATAAAGGCTTCCACCAACCTAATTATATCAAAAAATCTTATTGTAAAATTACCAAAATGCCTTTAACCACAGGTGAATTCACTAGATTTACTTTTTAAAAATAATTTAGTTATTTTATTATTCATAAAAAGTTAAAAATACAAACAAGCTCATGAGCAACTACTTTAAAAAATAATTTTTAAGATAATAAAGTCATTTTACTATGTATAAAAGATGTGGAAAAATCGATTTACCTCTATCAATATAGTAATGACCAAAGGATCCCTATGAAAAAAACATAACACCCTCAATAACTAAGTATTGAGTTTATTATAAGAATGGAAAAATAGGTAAAACATTGTGAATTATTATGATATTTGTCCACATGCTTTAAATTTTCTTATAGTAGCTTATTTAGGTAAGCTTTGTTGTTGATTGGACCATGAAAAATTTAAACATAGAAAAATGTCAAAGTCATGAAAATTTGTTGGCAATGTCGTTTAAGCTGACTAAATAGGTAAATTATGAAACTTTCTAACTCAACTCGTTTAAGCTGACTAAATAGGTAAAATATATGAGAGTTAATGTGAATTAATTGATTCATGAGTCCTAAGATAATCCAAAAAATTAATAAAAATATGAATTAATTTTAAAAAAGACTTTGATATGCCAACCTCAACAAAAAAAATCAAGGAACCAAAATCAAAAAAGAAAAAAGTTTTTGTTTGAGATTGCGAGCCATGTCATGAACTCTACTTGTATTAATAACTTAGTTTTTTTTTTAAACAATTCTCTATTCAATCGTTTGATATCAAAAATAGATAATTATAAAATTAAGCATTAATCTAATACTAATACCTGGATATTTAATTGAGATTAAAATAACACTATAGAAAATAAAAAAGAAAAAGCATAAATTTTAATTTAAAATAAACTAAATATTGAAAAATTAAATTAAAAAATTAACTAGAAAAAAAAAAATTAACCTTTCAAACTCGCAAATCAGGTAAACCTATATAAATATATCACATTTATAAACCACTCAAAGCACTCCATAAAATTTAATAACATGATTTAAAAAAAAACTATTTTTTTATTGTTTTTAAATGATAAAAAAATTAAATCAAGTTAAAATAAAAAATTACCCAGCTAAACCTGTAAACTAAAAATGAATATTTAAAGAAATAAAATCCTTTATATGCTATCCTTGACTGTAATTCAAAGGCTGATGAAATGGGTTCTTTACATAAATATTCATGAAAACTAAAAGAAATCGAGACATTTTATATGTTATTTGTTACTTGATGTCCATGAACAACATCGAATCTCAATTTGATTTAAAAAAATTAAATGACAATTAAAATATTTAAAGTCATGCAACCAAATTTGAATATTGGACAAGTATAGAGCTCCTTTTTTCTTGTAAATATTAGGGATTAAATTGCACGAGTATGAGAGAGATTCAATTTTTTTTTTCAATTCAATTTTTTTATTGATTTTTTTAATTATATTTGATATTTTTTTTGGGTTGCCTAAAAATGAAAATGATGTCAAGGAAGAATTTTGACATACAATTGATGTTTATTTTTGCAAAATAAATTTAATTTTATTAATTTAAAATAATTAAAGCTCTAAAAAAATAAAATCAAAATTTTAAAACATCATAAGAACTATAAAGATGAACAACACAACTTGGTTGATGCGTGCATTGTATGTGTCAATGTATAGGAGAAAGCCGCTACACGTTGGCAACATGTGTGGCTTATGTGCGGCTTTCTCTAATGTTTGGGTACCACTGTCTTGTGTGTTTTATTATTTTATTTTTGTGTGAAATTTGATTATAGATTTTTGTATTGGTATTTTTGGCTTAGGATCTCTTTTTAGATTTTTTTTTTAGATTTTTTTATTTAATATTTAGCTGATTAAAAATTAAATTTTATGATTTTTTAATAGGGTAATCCTGTTCACACAACTTAGGGCATGAGTTTGAAAAGTTATCTTTGGTTAACATCAATATTTTTAAGTCTTTTTTTGTTATAATTTTTTTTTTTAATTTTATCATTCAATATTGAATTCATTAAAAATTAAGCTGGATGGATTTCTTTGCTTTCATTTCTATAAGGGTATACTAATTTCATGATTTAGGTTACACTCTAGCATATTAGCCTGGATTAACTCATGTTTTTTTTGGGTTGTTTTGTTTAAAAAACTAAATATTTTTTTAATTTTGTCATTTAACATTGTGCTGGGTTGATAGTTTAGCTTTGTTATTTTTTCAAAATTTTCTTTTAATAAGTTGTTTTGTTCACGCAATTGAGATCATGAGATTTAATAATTTTTTGGATTTCTTTTGATAATTATTTTGTTTATATAATTTTATGTTTTTAAAATAGTTTTGTTGAGTGTTGAGTATTGTAATTTTTTTTATTTTTTATGGAATTATTTTGACTTCACAACTTGAAAGATGGGCTAGAAATGCTAATTTAGGGTGACTTGAGGCGAGTTTCTATCTTTATTTTTTTTATTTTTTATTTCA